TTCCTATACAGAAATCCGAACTTCAAATTCCATACCTTTTCCATGATTACCAGGTCAAATTTTTAGGGAATTCCAGTGAAATTTTAAAATTAATTTCCACGTCGTATAATATATATTATAATATCTTAAAAATTCTAATTACATTTCTATTAAAGAGACAAAATGGAAAACAGGAAAAATTTAGAAACTTTTAAAAATTCCAGGCCTTTTCCATGATTTTTTTGATTTTCATAAGCCCTTTCATAAGCCTTATCACTTTACTTATTTAATAGTCTCTACCCTTTGGTTAAAAATATAAATTTTTTAAAAATCATCAAAACTTCGAAAAATTGAATTTTTAAAATTCGAAATTTTTTCTTCTCTTTTATGGCATTTAGCTTCAATATTTTTGTGCTCTTCAAAAATACTTTACTTATTTAAAAATCTCCACCCTTTGGTAAAAAATCTAAAATTATCGAAAATATTCAAAATTTCGAAAAACCGAATTTCTTAAAATTCAACATTTTTTCTTCTTTTTTGTGGCATTAAGCTTCAATATTTTTGTGCTTTTAAAAAATACTTTACTTATTTAAAAATCTCCACACTTTGGTAAAAAATCAAAAATTATCAAAAATATTCAAAAATTCGAATTTCTTAAAATTCAACATTTTTTCTTCTCTTTTATGTCATTTAGCTTCAATATTTTTGTGCTCTTGGAAAATACTTTGCTTAATTAAAAATCTCCAACCTTTGGTAAAAAATCTAAAATTTTCAAAAATATTCAAAAACTCGAAAAACCGAATTTTTTAAAATTGAACATTTTTTCTTCCTTTTTATGGCATTTAGCTTCAATATTTTTGTGCTCTTCAAAAATACTTTACTTATTTAATAGTCTTCACCCTTTGGTAAAAAATTTAAAATTATAAAAAATTATCAAAAATTCGAAAAACCGAATTTCTTAAAATTCAACATTTTTTCTTCTTTTTTGTTGCATTTAGCTTCAATATTTTTGTGCTCTTGAAAAATACTTTACTTATTTAAAATTCTTGAACCTTTGGTAAAAAATCAAAAATTTTCAAAAATATTCAAAAACTCGAAAAACCGAATTTCTTAAAATTCAACATTTTTTCTTCTTTTTTGCTGCATTTAGCTTCAATATTTTTGTGCTCTTTAAAAATACTTTACTTATTTAAAATTCTCAAACCTTTGGTAAAAAATCAAAAATTTTCAAAAATATTCAAAATTTCAAAAAACCGAATTTCTTAAAATTCAAAATTTTTTCTTCTCTTTTAGAATTTTTTTTTTTTTTAAATAATTGAATTTCAATGAAAAATGTTTTTATCAGTGAAAGTAATTGAATTATGGTGATTGTATAAAAATTTTGTTAAATAATTGATTTTTTCGAAATTTTTTTTTGAAAATTCTATTCTAAATTAATTGAATTCTTGCGTGGAAATTTTATTATTTATATGAAAATAATTAAATTTTAAATGAATTTTATCAATGTTTGTTTAAAATATTTGAATTATTTGTGAAATTTTCTAAAAATACTAGACATTGAAAATAATTGAATTTCTCTCATATTTTTTTTTTTGAAAATAATTGAATCGTTTTAAAGAATTTCATTATAATTTTTTCAAATATTTTTTTTGTTTATTTCTAGTATTAGCGAATTTAAAGTAATGGAAATTTCCCTCCAAAAAAAAAAAAAACAGAAATAGTAGCTTTTAATCGCTAAAATCCAAAAAAAAATCCTCCTCTTTCTTTGATTTAAAAAATTCAAAATGGCGGATCCAATATGGCGGACGAAAGTTAAAAAATAATCTAAATTCCCTTGAAAATTGCAAACTCAGCAGTTTTTAATTACACTCGCTGATTATACGAATCTAAAAAGTTAAAAATAAAAAATAACAAATCTAATTCTATAAAAAGTTAAAAAGTTCAAAAAAAAAAAAAAAAAAAATTGACTCTTTTCTTTTCGAAAATAAAGTTTAATAATTCTAAACACGAACTAATAGAATATAAGATGAGTTTATTTTGCTTTCGTAAATGTTTATTTTCTCTTTCTTTTTTTTTCTTTTTTTCTTTTTCTTTGAGATCAAGACCCACCCACCCACCCAAGTCGATTTCTATTTGAAGGACAAAATCGACTGCAGTTGACTTATGTCAGGGCGTAGGTGGAAATAAATACACGTAAAGAGAGGCAAATTACGTTACATAACAAAGTAATAAATATATATGTATGTGAATAAGAAGAAGATGAAGAATAGTGAGAATATGTGGCAAAGAGGGGGGAGAGGGGCGAAGGGGGGGGGGGGCAAAAAAGTTCACTGTTCGATAGAGAACCTCATTCTTTGCTCGCCAGGAACGAACGTTTTAATAAATAACGTGTACTATTAAATAATAATAATTAAATCAAAAAAATTAAAAAAACAATATTTATCATTTTTTATTCAGTTTATAGTAATAATTTACAATAAATTATTATTTACTATTAGTATTAGTTTTTACCTCCTCTCTCTAAAAAAAAAAATTATTTTGTATCCAGTTTCGAAATTTAAATAAATAAAAAACAAAAAAGTAATAAAAATAACAGCAATAAAATAATAATAATAATAATAATAATAATAAAAATAATGACAATTCTAAATTAATTATAAATATTAATAATTATTATTATTATTAATTATTTTTTTTTATTTTGGAGTAATTTTTAGAATTGTAATTAAATAAAAACGTAAATAAATAATATAATAAATGCTAATAATTATTATTGTGTTATTATTTTCTTTTTCATGTTTTCCATTTTTAAACTGTCTGCAAAATAACAAAAACTAATGATAATAAATAATAATTATTATTAATTACTATTTTATATATTTTCTAGCGAAATAAAAAATAATTAATGACAATAACAATAATTATATTGAATTTATATTATAATTATTATAATAAATACATGGATTTAAATATTAATAGTAAATAATAGAAATATTATAATAATAAATAATATAAATATTAATAATAAATAATACAAATATTTATACTAATATAAATATTAATAATAAATAATGTAAATATTAACATTAATAAATAATTAAATAAATAAAATTAAATTGAAAATTTAACTGACTAAATAAAAAATATTGTTTAAAAATTTTCTAAATATTTAACAAAACTAAAAACCCGTTTATATAATTTAAAATAAAGTTAATAAATAAAAAATCGATTGTATTTTTTTATAAATAAATAAAATAAATAAAGAAAATGGAATAAAAAAAATTAATAAAAAATCGATTGGATTTATTTATAAATAAAGAAAATAGAATAAAAAAAAATAAATAAAAAATCGATTTTATTTATTTATTTATTTAAATTTTAAATTTTAATCTTCAATAATAAAAAAACTTGGTTTGTTTTTGCAAAAGATTTCTCACAGTGATTCGAGAGAAAAGAAAAGAAATTTTCTGTTTTCTCAAATGACAAAACATTTGTGAAATGATAAAAATTTTTAGCATCCGTTTGATTTTTTAGGGTAGATAACAATACTGAAAATGAATGATAAAAGGAAGTTGCACATTTGTGCAAAAAGATGTTTCTTTTCTTATCGCAATTTTCACGATTTTCAACTTCCGAATTCATTAATAATTATTTTTTATTTCAAAAAAAAAATTTTCTATAAATGAAAGACGAAAAAATATTAATTAAAATTTTTTTCTCTCAAATAAGATTTTTTGTTTTTAATAATATTTTTTTTCTTACACGTTTATTATATTTATTATATTATTTTAATTAATTATTAAAAATTATAAGAAAATAATTTTATTATTTTCGTTTTTAATTCGATTCTATATTTTCAATATAAATAAAATAATTTTTATTAAATTTATCAATAAACTAGAAATTTTATTATTAAATTAACGAAAAAAAAACATTTTTTTAATTTAATTTTTTTAAAATTTGAATTACTTTAATTTTTACTAATTTAATTAATAATTTTTTTTATTCGATTATTTTTTTATCAAATTTTCTAAAATTCAATTATTTTATTGGTTATATTAATTTATTTAATTTTTTTTCAATGGTTTTTTTATTCAATTTTTTTTAATTCAATTATTTTATTCGATTTTTTTTATTCAATTTCTTTAAATTCAATTATTTCATTGTCCAATAATTTATTCTCTATTTTTTCAATTATTTTAAAATTTTCAATTCAATTATTTTATTATTTAATAATTTTTTCAATTTCTTTTTTGATTTGATTCTTTTTTTATTCAATTTTTTCTAAATTCCATTATTTTACTGTCTAATAGTTTATTCTCCTGTTTTTCAATTATTTTTTTTATTAAAGTTTTTAAAATTCGATTATATTTTAATTTTCAATTCAATAATTATTTCATATTTTTTAATTCAATTATTTTAAAATTTTTAATTCAATTATTCTTATTACAATTATTCTTTGATTCAATTATTTTTTATTCAGTTTTTGTAAATTCAATTATTTTCTCATTCAATTTTTGTAAATTCAATTATTTTATAATTTTTAGTTCAATTATTTTATAGTTTAATCATTTTTTCCATTCTTTCAATTATTTTTTTTGTCAAATTTTTTAAAATTCAATTACTTCAAATTTTTCAATTCAATTATTTTATAATTTTAAATTCAATTATTTTATTGTTTTTATAATTTTTTCCATTTTTTTCAATTATTTTTCTATTTTTTTTTTACCAAAGTGTTTAGAATTAAATTATTTTTAAATTTTTTAATTTGATTAAATTTTTTTAAATTCAAGAAAACTAAAATTTGTATTATTAAAAATTAATAAAAGAAACAATTTTATATTATAATTTTGTTTTTAATTCGATTTTTTATTTTCAACAATTTTTAATAAATTTCAAACTAAATTCCAAATAAATAATAAATGAAAGAACAATCAAATAAGAAATTAAAATAGAAATAAATTTGACAAAAATTGCGATAAAGAAAGAAGAAAAGAATATAATAATAAATGATTTCTAACCTGACGTGATTCATAGGATTCTGAAAGATGTCCAGGATCACCTCCTCCAGCTGGCGATTCACCAAATCCTTTATTTCGTTCCATTTTATCGAAAACATCGACAGCTTCGTTTAACTTTTTATCCACACGGTCAAGATTTGTATTTTCGTTTTTTCCTTTATTGCCCAAAAGGCGTGAGATCGTACTCCACATTCAGTTTTCATCCAAACATTTATTAGAAACAATTAAAATTTACAAAACTCTCGATTTTATCAATCTTTCACTAACTAAATTTTTCTCTTCTTCCCCCTTCAAAATATACCTAAATTCAGAAAATACATTTTACTCTAAAAAATTTACAAATACAGAAACTATTTTATAGAGAAATTTACAAGAAACTATTTTAAAAAAGGACAAATTTCGTCAAAACGTCAAGAAAAAAATTTTAGGTTATGTTCGTTTGGAACGAGAAATAAAAAATATTTTTCCAAATTTCCTTTTAAAAAGGCGCAAAAAAATTGTAAAAGAAAAATTTTTTTTTCTAGGTTATGTTGACTTTTTCTCTTTTTTAGGAAAAGAAAAAGTTTTCTATCTGAATTATTTCCCTTTAAAGAAGAAAATAAAGAATCATCCCCTTTAGAATCTTTTGAATCAAGAATCGAATCACTCTACGAATTTCATTTCATTTTTAAAACCACACAACTTTACGACGATTTCGATCGAAATTTTCTTTGAGATTATACGAAGTCGGATGTGTTTTAAAATCGGACAGTGGCCGAAGTTGAATATCTATTTTTAACAAACAAATTCACTGACCGTTTTATATAGAAGGCGAATTCGTGCAAAACCTATTTTATCCCCCTCCCTCCCCCATTAAACCTTAAGTATCGATTTTAACCTCACAATGAGAACAAATTTTCACTTTTAAAAAGCAGATTATTTTTCCAACTTTCCAAGAGAAAAAGAGAGAGAGAAAATTTCTCAAAGAGAATTCTCCCTTGAGAAGTTAAAGAGAATTGTCAAAATCGTTAAAGAGAATTTTTGTCACACACAGAGACATGACAATAAATGAAGGGAAGGAAGAGAAGAAACACTTTACAGGAAACGAGGGAGAAAACTTCTCGTCTCGTATGTGGCCAAAAAGGAAGATAAAAGAAAATTGACAGCGTTTTTCACTTCAAGAGATTTCGAACGAGAGGAAAACATGGAAAAAATTCCAAGACAAGAGAAAAATTACAAAAAAAAAATTTTGAGTGAATTGAACGAAATTTGTCCTTTCCCCCCACCCCTCCTTTTTTCGGTGGGAATTATTTAACGAAAAATAATATTTCACTGGGGTTTTTTTTCACAGATTTTTCCTTTAATCACTGCGACAATATATAGAAAATAATACACTTACACTCACAACACTTACACACACTTATTTAATTCGGCACCCCGCGAATCAATTCTTTTTCACCTTGTCATTTGGATTGTTATTTTGAGGTTAGAACTCGCGATTTAAATACAATTGGAATGTTATTATTGTTCTTTTCAATTAACGATTAAACATTGGCGTTTGTCGGATATTTTTTCTAATAATAAAGTCGCGAAAATGTCACAAAACTTTGAGACGAACCGATCATCATCATGATGAAAAACGAGAAAACCTCCAATTTACTCTGAAGTCAGCTGCGAATGCATCGATTGCTCATGCGTTCGAGATATCGATCACGTGACACTGCGCGGCGCGAAATTCAAAATCGAATTCTTCCTTTTCGTCAATTATTCAAAGAAAAATAATAATTTTTTCACTTAATTTTTAATGACAATTACATATTATCATCAAAAGGCATAATTATCATAATAATTATTATAGTAAAAATAAATTTTCAATAAAAAAATAAAACAAATTAAAAATATAATTAATAAAATTAATAAAAAGCGGTTTTTAAAATAACTTTTTAATTTAATTTTTTATTTGCTGTTTTCAATTCACCTTTTTTACCATTCCTTATTTTTTCAGAGAATTTTTCGAAAATGATTCCAAAAAAAAGAGCGAATTAAAATAAACTTTTCTAAATTCTCAATTTTTCGTTAGAAGAAAGACTAATTTGAAAAATACTCGAAATTATTTATCATTAATTATTAGAAATTTATTATTACTAACAATTTGTTAACTAATATTGAAATCGAAAATTTGTTAATAAAGAAGAAATCTACTTTTTCAAATTCGCACAATTCTGGCGCCTGGAAAGTACCTCGAGCGCTGATTGGCCGCCTCACGAGAAAGGGACAAATATGATTGGCGGACGCATTTCGCCCACCGGATATTCGCCCAGTGTTGGAAATTTGAAAGAAAAAAAAACTGTTTCTAAACAAAATAACTATTATAACGAAAAGTAAATAATAATTTTCTCTACTATTTATTATTTTTAATGTTATTTTCCTATTTATTTTCCCGATATGTGTCTAAATAATCGGAGAGAAATAGCGAATTAAATAACGATTTGTTTTGCAAAATGGCGGCTCAACTTTGTCCATCCGGTTTCATGCCGTGTGACGTTCTTCTCACTCGTCGGCACTTCGGCAGTTTTTCCAGTTGATTTTTAACAGTTCACACACGCGTCTCTTTCATCATGGCATCCACAGTTGAAGTCGGCGTTTCTGCTCTCGTTTACGATTATTTATTAAAAAAAGATGCGTCCCTCGCAAATATATTTCAACAAAAAACAAAGGCGGTGAGTAATTTGCAATTTTTTGTCTAAAACATTTTTTCCAATTCTCAAAAAAAAACATTTTTTCTTTTTATATTCGCCGATACCACGTGGGGCGATCAATAAAATTTTATATCAAGTTTTCCATATTTTTGCCATTTTCCCCTCGAATATTTAACCGTAAATTTTTGTTTTTCGTTAAAAAAAAATTATTTCTCCCCCTAAAGAAGGAATTTTAATAACATTCTCATTTTTTTTCATTGTTTCCTTTTTTAATTGGAAATTTTCTCACACCACGAGGGAAGATAATTGTTTGTCTCGCTTTTTTTCTCCTTTCAACAGGATTTTTAGTTCTTTTTTCGTTGGACTGTGTAAAGTTTTGTGGAAAATAAAAATATTTCCCTCTACTTCGAATAAAATTATTTGATTTTTTATTAGAAATGGGAAAAAAATTAAATTGAAATGTGGCAAATGCGGGAAACATAACCTCACTTTTTTGGAGGAAGGAAATTTCTCTCTGTTTGTTTTAGAGGAAAAAAAAGTGCATTTTTAATTCGAATATTGTTTGTTGGCCAAATTTTTTGTTTCTCTTTCGTTGAATTGTAGCGTTTTTGAACAAGTTCTCTTTTTTTGTACAGCATGGTATAAAAATTTATTTACAAATAAATATTTTTTTTCTGCTCCTTTTTTTCACACGCGGCGCAATAAAAGATATTTTCTTAATTTTAAAAGCACAAAGAAAAAACTAATCCAAAGTAATATTTATATTTCTTCCAAGTAATTTACTCTCTTGTTTTGTTTTTAAAATTTTTATATTAAAATAAAAAGAAATTTTCATTTTTGGAAAATTTGAATTTTATACGAATTTTACTTTACCGGAAAATGGGGAACATAACCTCACTTTTTTGTGAAAAAAAATTTCTTTTCGTGATAATTATGTTAATAGTATTTTAATTTTGACTCATTGGTTTAAAATTGTCGAATTGTTTAATTTTCTATTCTTTACTAATATAAACAAAAACTACAAGATGTTAATATTTTTTTTTAAAGTTTCAACCTTTTTTTGTTTTTTTTTCTATTTTATAAATATGTTTTAAATACAATTGTTACGATTGTTACTAATTTTTACACAACAATGTGAAATTCAATTTCGGATTTTTGTTTCCAATTTTCATAAATAATTGACGAAATAATTGTTATAAACAATAGACAATAATTTTATTATTTAAATCAATATTTTCAATTGTTTTTTAATTCAATTATTTTTTTTAATCAATTTTTTCTTCATTGGTCATTCAATAGATTAAAAAATAAAAATTCAATTATTTTTCAAATCGTTCTTTTCTTCAGTTTTCTTGAATTCAATTTTTTTTTTCAACAATTTTCAATTCAATTACATTATTTAATAATAATTTATTCAATTATTTTTAGAAGAAATTTAATTCTTTCTTGATTTAACAGTTGATACATTAATTAATAATTAAATTGCTTTTTTATTAATTATTTTTTTATTTTTCAATTATTTTTAATTGAAATCAATTTTTAATTTTATTTTTAGTTTAATTATTTATTGTTGAATCAATTAATAGATGGATTAATGATTCAATTATTTTTTTTATTATTCAAAACTATTTTATTATTAATTAAATAATTTGCAATTAAAATATTGTTCATAATTGAATATTTTATTGTTTTTTTTTCAACAATTTTAAATTTAATTATTTTATTATTATTTCAATTATTTTACAAGTTTTAATTAAAATATTGTTTAAAATTCTTTATATTTCGTTTTTTTTAATAATTTTCAATTCAATTATTCTACAAGTTTTAAATAAAATATTCTTTATGTACCTATATTTCTTTATTTTTTGGTATTTTTAGTAATTTTCAATTCAATAATTTTGTTATTTAACAATTTATTCGATTATTTTTTACAATTATTTTTCAATTCGTATTTTTATTCAATCAATTTTTTAACAATTTTCATTTTAATTACTTTATTATTTACGAATTTATTCAATTATTTTTTAATTTTTAATTGAAAATTATTTTATTATTTTTAATTTATTCAAGTTCTTGTTCAATTGTTTTTTTGTTTCGATTACTTTTTTAACAATTTTTTCAATTGTTTGTATTCGGTTATTTTTTTTGAAATTTTTTTAAATTCAATTATTTTATTGTTTAATAATTTATACCATCTTTTCAATTATTTTTTTAATTCTATTATTTTTTAATATTAAATTTTTTAAAATTCAATATTTCTAAATTTGCAATTCAATTATTTTAGAATTTTTAATTCAATTATTTTATCATCTAATAATAATTTATTCAATTTTTTTAAATTCAATTATTCCATAATTTTTAATTCAATATTATTTTATTGTTTAATAATTTTTTCCATTTTTTCAATTATTTTTTAATTCGATTACTTTTTTTTATCAAATTTTTTAAAATTGAATTATTTAAAATTTTTCAATTCAATTAGTTTTGTAATTTTGAATTCAATTCGATTATTTTTTTTTTAAATTCAAGTATTTTATAATTTTTATAATTCAATTATTTTTTTAATTCAATATTTTTTTATTAATGTTTTTTTTTAGAATTAAATTATTTAAAAAATTTTAATTCAACTATTTTTATTGTTTCATAAGTTATTCAATTAATTTTAGAAGAATAGATTATTTCAAATTAATAAATAATTGTCAAATACAATTTTATTATAATTATACTTTTTTAAATAAACACATTTTTTAATTTTTATAATCTTTATTTTTAAATTAATAATTTCTTCTAAATATATTTTTTGTTGGTTAAAATAATAGCTAAAAATACTAAGAAAAAAATTGCTAAAAAATTAGAATTTAAATCGGTAATTCTTTAAAATTAATTAAAAATTTTCCTCTTTTTTTTGTTGTTCTTTTCAATTATTTTTTTATAATTTTTAATTCAATTATTTTAATTTTAAATTAATTATTTTCTTCTAAATATATTTTTCTATTGTCAAAATAATAGCTCAAAATATTTTTAAAAAAGTAGAAAATAAATCGTTAATTCTTTATAATTAATTAATAATTTTCCTTTTTTTGTATTTAATTAAAAATTTTTGAATTTTCTACCGAATATTTATTTATTTTTTTTATTTAAAAAATATTAAGGGCATTTTTGAACTTGAATTTTGATAATTTTCTTTTTTTGTGTTTAATTTCAAATTCGAAATTTTCTACCGAATATTTATTTTTTTGTTTTTATTTGTAAAGAAAGAATTCTTAATTATTAATTCTTTCTTAATAATTTTCCTTTTTTTGTGTTTAATTTCAAATTGAGAATTTTCTACCGAATATTTATTTATTTATTTATTTATTTATTTATTTGTAAAGAAAGAAAGAGAAATATTGAATTTAAAAATTAATAATCCTAATATTTTCCGCAGCCGTCACTACCGAAGGGATCGCCAACAATAGTCGATGTCGTGACGCACTATCAAAAGAGTGCTCCAAAAAAATTGGTCATCAAGTCACTGAAAAAAGAGAGCAGTCCCGATTCAAGTTCAGAGAGTGATGACGATGACGAGACATCATCGCCAATCAAGGCAAAACCACAATTAAATGGAAAAGCCCCAACAAAAACATCAGCCCCCAAAAAGGCTTCAAGTTCCGATGACGACGATTCATCCTCAAGCGAAGAGGAAACAGCGTCGCCGGCGAAAAAATCCCCCCTCAAAGTCTCCGTCGTGACACCCGCAAAATCAGCGAAATCCACAGAAAACAAATCTAAAGCAGCGCCGGCGAAGAAAGAATCAAGTTCAGACGACGATTCATCTTCAGACGATGAACCAAAAACACCCGTGGCTCCAAAAACCGTCCCCCAAACACCGAAGGGAAAGAAGGAAGTGAAACCCGTCGCAAAGAAGGAAAGCAGTTCCGATGACAGTTCGTCGGAGGAAGAGGCGCCGAAGAAAGTCGTCGCCAAGGTGGAAAATCCAAAGGCGAAACAAATCGTGAAGAAGAAGGAAAGTTCTTCTGATTCTGATTCCGAAGATTCCGATGACGAGGCGAAAAAGGCGAAATTGAAGAAAGGAGCCGCGGCCCTAGCGGCAGCAGCGCCTAAAATTCCCGCCAAAAAGAAGGAATCTTCCTCGGATTCAAGTTCCGAAGAAGAGGCGCCGAAGAAACAACAAAAAGTCGTCGCCGTAAAACCGGTCGCGAAGAAAGAATCTTCCTCCGAATCGTCTTCTGAAGAAGAAGAAGAAAAGCCTAAAGCTGCCCCAGTGCAGAAAACTCCTCTGAAGAAACCAGTCGCCAAAAAGGAATCTTCATCCTCCGAAGACAGCGACGAAGAAGAGGCGAAACCCCCAGCGAAGAAACAATCACCTAAAAAAGCACCGTCACCGAAAAAATCCCTAGCACCGGTTAAAATTCCCCTAAAAGCAGCGTCGTCCTCATCATCAGACGATGATTCCGAAGAGGAGAAAAAAGTAGTCACCAAGAAACCGACTGCAACACCTGCGAAAAAAGAAGAAGAATCATCATCAGACAGTTCTGAGGATGAAGAACCAAAAGTAACGACGAAAACGCCAGTGAAGGTGCAGAAGAAAAAGGAATCGTCATCGAGTGATGATAGTAGTGATGAGGAGGAGAAACCGGTGAAGAAGGCAGCGGTGGTTGTCGAGAAGAAGAAGAAGAAGGAATCTTCGAGTGAGGATAGCGATGAGGAGGAAGAGAAGCCCAAGAAGAAGAAGAAGAATAAGGAGGTTGTTGAGAATGAAAAATCAGAGGATGAAAAGTCAAAGGGAAAAGGAAAATCGTTGAAGAGAAAACATGAGGATAATGAGGAGAATGGCGGTGAGGAGGAGGAGGAGGGTATTGCTCCCGCTAAGACGCCGAAGAATAATTATAGTAATTTTGTCAAGGCCGGACACAACAGTGATAAGGTATTGAAAACAGAAATAAAAAATAGATATGGAATATTTTCTTTTTAAGAAAAAGAATTTTCTATTTTACTATTAAATTCTGTTGGTATATTGATAATCATCGGTCTGAAGTATAACTTACATATTTTCTATTTTACTATTTTTTCTGCTAAGAAGAAGATATTTTCTATTTCACTATTTTTTCTGTAAAAAAGAAGATATTTACTATTTAATTCTGTTGGTATATTGATAATCATCGGTCTGAAGTATAACTTACATATTTTCTATTTTACTATTTTTTCTGCTAACAAGAAGATATTTTCCATTTTAATATTTTTTTTCTATTAAAAAGAAGATTTTCATTATTTTTCTCTATTGAAAAGAAAATATTTTTCATTTTACTATTTTTTTCTATTAAAAAGAAGATTTTAATTATTTTTCTCTGTTAAAAAGAAGGTTTTTATTATTTTTTTCTATTAAAAAGAAGATTTTTATTATTTTTCTCTATTAAAAAGAAGATATTTTCTATTTTTCTGACAAAAACAAAATACTTTTTATTTTTCTACTTCTTCTTTTTTTTTAAACAAAAGTTATTTTCGACTTTTCCTTTAAAAAAAAAAGTTCCTTAAAAAATATCATGTATTTTTCTATAAAAAGTATTAAAAGTACAAAAATATTGATAGTGAAAGTATACAAATTTTAATAGTAAAAGTATTAAAAATAGTAAAAATATAAAAACATTAACAGTAAAAATAGTAAAATTAGTAAAAGTTTAATGCTATTAATAGTAAAAATAGTAAAAATTGAGAAATTTCAATATTAAAAGCAAAAAAATTTTAATAGTAAAAATATAAAAATGTTTACAGTAAAATTAGTAACATTAGTAAAAGTATAAAAATATTGATAGTAAAAATAGTGAAAGTTCAGAAATTTCAATATTAAAAGTATACAAATTTTAATAGTGAAATTATAAAAATATCAATGGTAAAATATTAAAAAAAAATAGTAAAATTTCAGAAATTTCAATATTAAAATTATAAAAATTTTAATAGTAAAAAAAGATTAACATATTAAAAAAAAGTAATTATTAGTAAACGTTCAAAAATAGTAAAAGTATAAGATTTTAATAGTAAAAGTTTTAAAAATATAAAAATATTACTAAAAATAGTAAAATTAGTAAAAGTTTAAAGATATTAATAGTAAAAATAGTAAAAGTTTTAAAATTTTAATAGAAAAAGTATTAAAAGGATTAAAAATAGTAAAAATATACAAATTAGAATTGTAAAAATAATAAAAGTTTAAAATTTTAAATACTAAAAAAAGTATTAAAATATTAATATAGAAAAAAAAATTTAAAAAAATAGATTTTGATAGTAAATGTAAAAAAAGTAGTGTAAATTTTTGAATGTTAATAGTAAAAATAATAAGAGTAGAAAAATTCTAAAATTATTAATAATAAAAATACTAAAAATATAAAAATGCTAAAAATTTGAAAATATTAATAGTAAAATTAGTAAAAAAAAAATAAATACAAAAAACTAAATTTACTACTTTTTCTATCAAAAAGAAAATTTTTTCTATTTTTCTATTTCTTTTTTTGAAAAAAAAAATATAATTTCTAAATTTTCTTTTCAAAGAATACAATATTTTCTTTTTTAAAAAAATAAAATATTGTTTAATTCTAATTATTTAGTAATTAGTATATTTAAATAATTCAAAAAAGAAAAGAAATTGACTATGAATTTTTCATGTTAATACAGAAAAACACACCATTCCGTCGTGTTAAGGACGAAGATGTTGATGTGTCTCCGAATTTGGCAAACAATTCATTCGAGGCAAAGGTAAATGCTTGGAAACTATGTATCATGAAAAATTCAGGTCACTTGCCGGTCCAAAACCACTTTAAAAATAATAATAATAATAATAATAATAATAATAACAAAAAACAAGAAATATTTTTTAAAGAAAAAAAGCTAAATTGAAATTTTTCAAAAACAAAGAAAAAAAATGATAAACTAAACACATAAAGAAAAGATGTAAAAAAAAACCTGAATGAATCGAAATTCGATTTCTGTTTCACTAGTTTCCGTGCATTAACCATGTTTCAAAAAAAAAACAAACAAACAAAACAAATAAAAAACAGTCAAGAAAACAAACAAACAAAAATCAAAATATCGGAATTTTAAACTATTTTTATTCTATATTCACTTTTTACTATTTTTTCCGTTTTTGAAAATTTTTTTTGTAAAACATTTATTTAGATTTAGTTTATTTTTAATCAGAATAAATTTTTTAATTAATTTTTAACTAAATAGGAATGTTTAGCAAGTAGTAATTAAAAAAAAATTAGTGTTAAACTCTTCAAAGAAATTAGAAATTAAAAAAAGTAAAGTAAAAATAAAATAAAAGAAGCAGAAAAGATTGAAAAACAAAACAAAAAGTATTAAAAATAGTAACAGTAAAAATGATCAATTATAGTTTTTAAAATAAAAATAATAACAAAAAGAATTTTTAAAATACTTAATTTATCAACAATTTTTAAAATTCTTAATTTATCAACAATTTTTAAAATTCTTGATTACAAAAAATTTTTTGAATCCAAATAAAAATAATAACGAAAATAATAAAAATAAGTATCAGTAACAAAAACGTCGGAATAGTAAAAAAAGTTAAAAAAAAGTAGTAGCAAAAATAATAAAATTTATATTAGTAAAATTTATTTTAATTAATTAAACTAATTTATTAATATTATTAACAGAAATAAAATTAATATCAGTAAAAATTATCAAATAGTAAAAAAACAAAATAAAAATATTGGCAAAAATAATAAAAAATGTGTCAGTAAAATGCCTAATTTCGAAAATAGTAAGAAACCAAAATTTAAATACAAAAAACAAAAATAATAAAAATAGTTTCAATAAAAATTATTAAATAGTTAAGAAAAACAAAGTAACAATAATCAAATTAATAAAAAGATTATCAGCAAAATTTATTTAAATTTTATACAAGAAGAAAAAAAAAATTATATTTTAATTTTTTATACAAGAAGCGAAAATAAAAAAAATAGTTTCAGTAAAAGTTATCAAATAATTTTTTTAAAAAATGTAAAAATAGTCAACGAGGTAAAATTGAAATGAAAAGATTATCAACAAAATTTATGTATCAAATAGTAAAAAATCTAAATAGTATCAGTAAAAGTTATCGAATAGTGAAAAATCAAAATAGTAACAGGAAAAGTTATCAAATAGTAAAAAATCAAAATAAAAATAACGTTAGTAAAAGATTTAAATAATATTAGTTAAAATTATTATCAAAAAGTATAAAACCAAAATAAAAATGTTAGTAAAAAATTAAAATAGTACTAGTTAAAATTATTATCAAATAGTAAAAAAAAATAGTAAAACTAAAATAAAAATAGTAGAAAAAGTTAATAAAAAATGTGTCAGTAAAATTTCTAATTTCGAAAATAGTAAAAAAAAACCAAATTTAAAATACAAGAAGCAAAAATAATAAAAAATAGTTTCAGTAAAATTTGTCGAAAAATAGTAAAAAAATAAAATGAAAATTAAGTGAAAATAGTAAAAAATATAGATAAAATGAAAATTAAGTAAAAATAGTAAAAAAATGGAAATAAAATGAAAATTAAGTGAAAATTAAATTATAATAGTAATAAATGGAAATAAAATAAAAATATAAATAAAAGGAAAATTAAGTAAAAATAGTACAAAATGGAAATAAAATGAAAATTAAGTGAAAATAGTAATTAATGAAAATAAAAAATAAAAATAGTAAAAAAAGAAAATAAAATGAAAATAGAATGAAATTCGTGAAAAATAGTAAAAAATAGTAAAAAATAGTAAAAAATAGTAAAAAAAAATAGTAAAAAATAGTAAAAAAATAGTAAAAAAAAAGAAAATAATAAAATAGAAAAATTTCTAAAAAGAAAAAAAAAGGAAAAAAAAAGAAAAAAGTAACATGGATGTGGCAATTGACCTGATTTTTTCTATTTTTCAGGACGAGAGTCCGGCGACGAATGGCCGGGGGGGCGGCGGAGGCTTTAGGGGCGGTCGCGGCGGTTTCCGCGGCGGAAGGGACAATGATCGTGGCGGTTATCGCGGCGGCTTCCGCGGAGGACGTGGCGGCGATCGCGGTGGCTTCCGAGGTGGACGAGGAGGTGATCGCGGCGGCTTCCGCGGTGGACGTGGAGGCGATCGCGGCGGCGGTTTCGAGGGCAGAAGGTCGTGGGGCGGAAGGGAGGACGGCGGAAATAATAGAGACGGTGGCGAGGGTGGGCCAAGGAAGTCGTGGGGCGGCGATGGTGAGCGTGGTGGAGGTTTCCGAGGAGGAAGAGGCGGCAGGGGCGGTGGCAGTTTCCGCGGTGATCGCGGAGGTGGCAATTTCCAGCGGAAATCGTTTAACGCCGATTCGCCAGCTCAAAATAAGAAAATTACGTTCGACGAATAATTAATTTTTGAAAAATAATGACGAGAGAGGTAAAAAGTTCTTTATTTTCTCAATCGAATTTTATTTTTATTCGAAATAGGAAATAAATTTGTATTTTTATTCAAAATACAAATGTCAGGGAATTTTAAAAACCTTGATAACACCTAGAAAAGTCGGGAAATTTTGATTGAAATCCAGGAAAAATTCTTAAAAGAGTTAAATTATTTTTAAAAATTCTAATGAAATTCTTTTGTAGTAATTCAATTTTTATTCAAAATAATTTTATTGAAATTCTTCGTAGAAATTTAATTAATTTCAAAAATTTGTCAAAATTCAATTATTTTCAATGTTCTACTAATTTAATAAAATTTCACCAAAGAATTCAATTATTTTTAAAAGTAGTATAATTTTTCACATAAATTCAATTATGTTGAAAAATTTAGAAAAATTCTCGTGAAAATTTTAATTATCTTTAAAAGTATAAACTTTTTCTCCAAAATTCAATTACTTTAGAGTTTTTAACTAAAACTCATATTTAAATTTAATTTTTATAAGACAATTTCAGGAGAATTCGATTATTTAAATAGAAAAATAAATAATTTATTAAACTCTTTTAAAATTGTATTAAAAATAATTGAAATTTTGTGATGAGTTTTATTAATTATGAAAATAATTGAATTCATTTGAGAAATTTTATTAAAATAGTAGATTTGGAAAATTTTTGAAAGTAATAGAAATTTTGCCCTGATTTTATTAAAATTTTTGAAAATAATGGAATTTTAGAGAAGAATTTTATAATTTATAAAGATAATTAAAATTTTTAAGAAAATTTTTTTTTAATTTTGAAAAACATTGAATTCTTGCACAAAATTTTTTATTACATTTTTATTTAAATAATTACATTCTTTTGAAAATTTTTATTAAAATTGTAGATTTTAATTTATGCAAATTCTAATTTAAATAATTGAATTCCTGAGAAATATTTAATATTCTTGAAAATAATTGAATTCTTGCGAACGATTTTTATTAAAATTGTATTAAAAATAATTGATTTCTTTCGAACAAATTTATTAAAATATTTGAAAATAATTGAATTCTTGTGATGAATATTATTATTCATGGAAATAATTGAATTTTGCAAAGAATTAAATTAATTTTATTAACGTGTCTCAAAATAATTGAATTTTCCGGAATAATTTTGTTATTTTTGGAAAAAATTGAATTCTTCATAACAATTTTATAAAAATTGTTTTAAAAAATTAATTTTTTTTTCAATTATAACTAAATGTTTACATAAAATTTTATTAAAAATTTTTGTTTAATAATTGAATTCAATTGTGAATTTTTATTAAAATTTTTCAAAATAATTGAATTTCGGAGAAGAATTTTGTGATTTATAAAAAAAACAATTGAAATTTTAACGATAATTTTTGTAAATTTTTTATTATAATTGAATTTCTGTAAAGAATTTTAATATTTTTGAAAATAATTGAATTTTTGAGACGAGTTTTATGAAAATTTATTTTTTAAATAATTGAATTCTTTTGGAAAATTTTAATTATTACAAATTATCGAATTGAGAAAAATTTTTAAAAATAATTCAAATTTTACCAAGTATATTATTAAAATCTTTGAATATTTTTGTAAATAATTGAATTCTTCCAAAGAATTTTAAAAAAAAAATTTTTAAATAATTGATTTTTTCGAAGAATTGAAATTAAAATTTTTAAAAATAATTCAATTTCTCGAGTAATTTCTGTAAAATTGTATTAAAAATAATTGAAATCCTGCGATGAATGTTATTATTTATAAAAATAATTGAATAGTTTTTAAGAATTTACTTCAATATTTTTGGAATTTTTTATATATAAATAATAAAATTCTTATTAGGATTTCATTTATTTTCAAAACAATTTTAATTGATATCTTCGAAAATTTCATAAATTTTTAAAAATCCTGTAAACATTCACGGAGAAAATTGAATTATTTAAAACAAATAATTCAATTTTTCACAGGAGTTCAATTATTTAAAAAAAATTCTTATAAAATTCATTTCAAGAATTTAACAATTTTCATAAATAATCAAATTTTCCCTAGAATTAAATTATTTTTTTAAATTTTGCTAAAATTCAATTATTTATAGAGATATACATTTTTTCGCAGATGAAAAAATGTTACTTTTGAAAATAATTAAATTCTTCATAAGAATTTTTTAAAAATTGTTTTTATTATTTAATTTTTTCGTTATATAATAAATATTCTGAACATTTTATTTTAAATAATTGAATTCTTATGGAAAACTTTATTTGTGAAAATAATTGAATTTTTCGATTAATTAATTTAAAATTGTATTAAAAATAATTGATTTCTTTCGAACAAATTTATGAAAATATTTGAAAATAATTGAAATCCTGTGATGAATTTTATTATTTATGAAAATAATTGAATAGTCGTTAAGAATTTATTAGAATTTTCAAAAATAATTGAATTCCTGGGACAAAATTTTATTATTTTTGAAAATAATTGAATTATTGCGAAAAATTTTATTAAATTGTTTAAAAAGAATTGTATTTTAGTGGAAAATTTTGTTATTTTTGAAAATAATTGAATTCTTGCTTAGAATTTTATGAAAATTTTTTTTAAAAAATTTAATTTCCATAAAAAATTATATTATTAGTGAAAATAATTGAATGATTTATTTAAATATAATTCTACAATATTTCCATTTTCTTTCCAGAGGGGTTCAAGAGGCTCATGGGGCGAGAGAGCGAACCTGGACCTAAAACACACGAGGGGAAAGTCATTTCGTCATGAGAAGACGAAGAAGAAACGAGGAAGCTATCGAGGTGGACAAATAGACACGAGTATCAATTCCATTAAATTTGACGATTAAGAGCCGCCGAAAAAAAAAAAAAAAAAAATTTCCTCCACTTTATTTGAATCGAATCAAGAACAAGAAGAAAAAGAAGAATTGATCGTTTTCTCGAGATTTTAAGTACAACTTTTTTTTTTAATCGACTTTAGTTAGATACAAAAAAAAATATATTATATATATTAAAAGAAAATGACCGCTTTATTGAAAAGAGAAAAAGGAATTTTTTCTTACTGTAGAATATATCCGAAAAAAAATATATTTCGGAAGACTATTTTTTTTTTTTTTAAATGCAGTTAATAGATCTCGTAAGACGACTAGAATTATTACTATTAATAATAAAATATTAATAATAATTTATTAATATTGAAATTTTTGTAAATGATTTTCATTTCTAAATCGTTCAGTAAGTGATATTAATGAATTATTTATTAATAATTAAAAATTGAAAATTGTTTTCGTGTATTGTGATTTCCTTTCTAGGTTTTTTTAAATAGTGATATCTTAATGACTGTTACTTTTTTCCTCTCACTGTTAACAAATTTAGAAAAAAAACACGTGTTTTTTTCATTCCTTCGAGTCACTTGGGTGATTTTTTTTTCTCTCTTGAGATTTTAATAAATTACGAGAGTAGAGAAAAGATTTTTTTTAGAAAAGAAAAGACGAGAAAAGAATTTAAAAAAAGAGAAATAGACTAGAATTCTTTGAATTGTTAATTATTGTTAAACCGCACAGTGAAAGAAGGGATTTGCACTTGACTATATATATATATTTTTTTTTTTTTTGATAAAATATTTTTTAACGAAAGGAACATTACATTTATATATGTGTTTAAATTAATTTACGAAAAAATATGTCACTTTATTTTCTGTACTGGAAAAAAATATATACTTATAAATGAGAGAAAATTTGTTTTCATTTCAAATTTTTATATGTAAAAATAAATTAAATAAATTTAATTTTTTTCAAAATTTTAATGAAATTTTTCGTAGAAATTTAATTAACTACAAAAATTTGTCAAATATTTAAATAAAATTGTTCGAAAGGAAATCAATTATTTTAAATGGAATTTTATTTCAATTTTTTTGAAATAATTCAATTATTCTTTTAGATTTTAATAAAATTCTTTTCAAGAATTCAATTATTTACATAAATAATTCTTTGAAAGAATTCAATTATAAAATAACAAAATTATTCCTGAAAATTCAATTATTTTGTCGGGATTTTAATAAAATTCTTTGTAAAATTCAATTATTTTCGTAAATAACAATATTCATCAGAAGTATTCAATTATTTTAAAAATAAATAAAAAATAAATAAAATTAAAAATAAATTTTAAATAAATTTCAAAATAAATCAATTTTTTCTTGTAAATTCAATTATTTTTAAAAATTTTAATAAAATTCGTTCGCAAGGATTGAAATGTTTTTTTAAAATTTCTAAACAGAATTCAATTATTAAAATCATTTTTTGTAAAAATCTTCGGAAAAATTCAATTATTTTCAGGAATAATAAAAATTTCTCGGGAATTCAATTATTAATTAAAAATTTTTGCTAAAATTCTTCAAAAGAATTATTATTTATTAATCAATTATTTACGCATAAATAATTCTACAAAAGAATTCAATTATTAAAAATAAATAACAAAATTATTCCCGAAAATTAATCAAAATTTGTGAAAAAGGAAAAAATTTAGGAAAAAATTGATTTTCCCTAAGTCTAATAATTTTTTATGAGCTAGTAACGACCTAAATTGTTGCTGGAATGTTGCTGAACAGCATCTTAAAAGTTAGAAAAATTTTCTGTAACTTTTAAGAGCAGCAGGTCCATCCGAACGCTATCAGACAATCAAAAATTGACAAAAAGGACGCGAAAATTGATTTTCTCTTTGTCTAATAATTTTTAATAAGTTGGCAATGACCCAAATTGTTGCTGGGATGTTGCTGAACAATATCCTGAAAGTTAGACAATTTTACTGTGTCTTTTAAGAGCAGCAGGTCCATCCGAACGCTAGCAGACAACCAAAAATACGCTAAAATTGATTTTCTCTTAGACTAAAAACTTTTTTCAAGTCGGAAATCACCTCAATTGTTGCTAATATATTGCTGAACAACATCCTACAATCAAGACAATTTTACTGTAACTTTTATGAGCAGCTGGTCCATCCGAAAGCTATCAGACAATTGAAAATTATCCAAAAGGACGCTAAAATGAATTTTCTCTTAGTCTAATAATTTTTAATAAGCTGGTGATGACCTAAATTGTTGCTGGGATGTTGCTGAACAACATCCTGAATAATAGAAAATTTTAAATTAATTCTTAAGTAATAGCAGGTCCACCCGAACGCAATCAGACAATTAAAAAGGACGCTAAAATTGATTTTCTCTTCGTATAATAACTTTTAAGAAGTTTGCAACGACCTAAATTGTTGCTGGAATGTTGCTGAACAACATCCTGAATAATAGAAAATTTTAAATTAATTCTTAAGTAGTAGCAGGTCCACCCGAACGCCATCAGACATTCAAAAATTGGCAAAACGGACGCTAAAATGGATTTTCTCGTAGTCTAATAATTTTTAATAAGTTGGCAATGACCTAAACTGTTGCTGTGATGTTGCTGAACAACATTCTGAAAAATAAAAAATTTTAAATTTACTTTTAACATGCATGTCCACCCGAACTTTATCAAACAACCAGAAATCGAGAAAAAGAACGTTTAGATTAATTTTCTCTAAGTCTAATAATTTTTTGTAAGCTGGCAATGACCTGGATTGTTGCTGTGATGTTGCTGAATAACATTCTGAAGAATAGAAAATTTTAAAATAACTTTTAAGTAGTAGCAGCTCCATCCGAACGCTAACAGACAATAAAAAATGAGCTAAAATTGATTTTCTCTTAGTCTAAAAATTTTTTATAAGCTGGCGATGACCTAACTTGTTGCTGTGATGTTGCTGAACAACATCCTGAAGAATAGAAAATTTTTAATTTACTTTTAAATAGTAGTAGGTCCATCCGAACGCTATCAGACAATCAAGAATACGCTAAAATTGATTTTATCTTAATCTAATAATTTTTCATAAGCTGCCTATAGTCTGAATTGTTGCTGGTATATTGCTGAACAACATTCTGAAAGTTAAAAAATTTTATTGTAAATTTTTGAGAGCAGCAGGTTCACCCGAACGCTGTCAGACAATCAAAAATTTGCATGAAGGACGCTAAAATTGATTTTCTCTTAGTCTAATAATTTTTATGAAGTTGGCAACGACCTTAATTGTTGCTGGGTTATTGCTGAACAACATCCTGAAGAATAGGATATTTAAAATTAATTTTTAAGTCGTAGCAGGTCACCTGAACGCCATCAGACAATCAAAAATTGTCATAAAGGACGTTAAGATAGATTTTCTCAAAGTCTAATAATTTTTTATAAGCTGGCAATGACCGGAATTGTTGCTGGGACGGTTCTGAACAACATCCTGAATAATAGAAATTTTTTTATTAATTTTTCAGTAGTAGCAGGTCACCCGAACTCTATCGGACAATAAAAAATGATCAAAAGGGACGCTAAAATTGATTTTATCTTAGTTTAATAATTTTTATGAAGTTAGCAACGACCTTAATTGTTGCTGGGATGATGCTGAACAACATCCTGAAAGTTAGAAAATTTTACTGTAACTTTTAAAAGCAGCAGGTCCATCCGAACGCTGTCAGACAATCAAAAATTGTCAAAAAGGACGCTAAAATTGATTTTCTCTTTGTCTAATCATTTTTATAAAGTTGTTAAAATCCTAAATTGTTGCTGGAATGTTGCTGAACAACATCCTAAAAGTTAGAAAATTTTACTGTGACTCTTAAGAGCAGCAGGTCCATCCGAACGCTATCAGACAATCAAAAATTGTCAAAAAGGACGCTAAAATTGATTTTCTCTTAGTCTAATAATTTTTAAGAAGTTGGTAATGACCTAAATTATTGCTGGGATGTTGCTGAACAACATTCTGAAGAATGGAAAATTTTAAATTCACTTTTAAGTAGTTGCAAGTCACCCGAATTCTATCAGACAATCAAAAATTGGCAAAAAGGACGTTAAAATTTATGTTTTCAAATTCTAATAATTATTTATTCATTAAGATTATTAATTTATTTATATTAATAACAACAATGCACTTACTAATATTAATATTTATTTTTTGAGTAATATTAATTTATTTGTTATTTTTTTTTCATTTATATTTTTCTCAAATAGTAATTATAATCAATTATTGGGCCTTCTAAGATTATGTAATTGCATTTTATGGCCTGTAACACTGCACAGTAGATCTACGTGACCTCTAAGGCTGCGCAGTAGATCTATACAACCTCTAAGGCTGCGCAGTAGATCTGTACGACCTCTAAGGCTGCGCAGTAGATCAATGTGACGTCTAAAGCTGCGCAGTAGATCTATACGACCTATAAGGCTGCGCAGTAGATCTGTACGACCTCTAAGGATGCGCAGTAGATCTACATGACCTCTAAGGCTGCGCATTAGATCTGTACGACCTCTAAGGCTGCGCAGTAGATCTGTACGACCTCTAAGGCTGCGCAGTAGATCTATACGACCTCTAAGGCTGCGCAGTAGATCTGTACGACCTCTAAGGATGCGCAGTAGATCTACATGACCTCTAAGGCTGCGCAGTAGATCTGTACGACCTCTAAGGCTGCGCAGTAGATCAATGTGACGTCTAAAGCTGCACAGTAGATCTGTACGACCTCTAAGGCTGCGCAGTAGATCTGTACGACCTCTAAGGCTGCGCAGTAGATCAATGTGACGTCTAAAGCTGCACAGTAGATCTGTACGACCTCTAAGGCTGCGCAGTAGATCTATACGACCTCTAAGGATGCGCAGTAGATCTACATGACCGCTAAGGCTGCGCAGTAGATCTGTACGACCTCTAAGGCTGCGCAGTAGATTTATACGACCTCTAAAGCTGCGCAGTAGTACTCTACTCTCTATAGAACCCCTAAATTACCCAATCTTAAAATTTTCTCCATTAAACACTCATTTTTTTTACTAAATTTCAATTTTTACGATTTTTCTCTCTCTTTCTTCGTTTTCTCTATTTCTTCTTATACATCAAAGTTTTTTATTTTCTTTTCTTTAATCAAAATTCGCAGTAAATTCCAAATCGAAAATTCAATTTCAATAAATAATAAAAAAAAAAAAAATTTGTAAACCGCAATTGTTATTAGTTATTACCGCTTCTGCACCTTCGCTTGATTATTTGTACCCATTCCCTTTTGATTTGGTCCTCTCACAGTTTGCCGGTGGGTTTCGAGAGTGTGGCACTCAATGCGGGAGAGAAGAAGTTTTCTTGGCTTCTAATAGTTGTTGCGATTCGAAGCACAGTCAACCTCTGGACATCCACCTGCGAGGAGCGGAGGTATAACGACCCCCGTAGGAAAAAAAAAATTTTTTTTTTTTTAATTACATATGTATATGTATTATTTTAAAGAAACCGGTATAAAGTGAAAAGTGTGTGTGTGCGTTGGTGTATGTGCGCAAGTTGTGTATATGACAAACACATGATATGAAACGGACAAGTTGAGAAAACTCAAGTGACCCAGTTTAAAATCTTGTTTTTTCCAATTTTTAATTGAAAATAACATTGAGAATCGATTTCCCTGAATTTCCCTTTATTTATTTTCTAATTTTCACCCTCCGCTTATAACAACATTAAGACACGTATATTTAATGCGACCGCTCGACAATCACTGTGAATCAACACTCTTGAGGATTATTTTTATTTATTAGTGTGGTGAAAATTTTAAGGAATTTTGTTATTTAATTTTTGGTTTTTTTTTCGAAATTGACAATTATTCTTTTTTCTTTTTTGGAAATCATGGGAACTCGACAAATAATTTCTGTGGTGAGTGAAAAAAAAATTATTTTTTATAAATAAGAAAACGTTTTTCTTTCAATTTTAACTGAAAACGAATTTTGTTTAAATGAATTAAAAAAAGGACTTTTTTAAAATGAATTCAAAAAGAACTTTTTCAAATGAATTAAAAATGAATTTAAAAAAAATTTTGTTTAAATTAATTCAAAAAGATCTTTTTTAAAATGAATTAAAAAAGGATTTTTAAAAAAACAAATTTAAAAAGAACTTTTTTAAAATATTAATTAAAAAAGAATTTTTTTTTAAAATGAATTTAAAAAGAATTTTGTTTAAATTAATTTAAAAAGAACTTTTTTAAAATGAATTAAAAAAAGGAATTTTTTAAAAATGAATTTAAAAACATTTTCTTTCAAATTAATTGAAAAAAAAATTCAATTTTGATTTTCCTTCGAATTATTTTAGTTTTTTCTGTTTTTTAATTTCTGTTTTTTCATTCGATTATTTATTTATTATTTTATTGTTTATTAATTTAATTTTTTTAACAAGTAATAAAAAACAAACGAAAAAGTTAATAAATAATAAAAAAAAAACAACAACAAGGGGAAAAAAAAAAAAAAGTAAAAATAAATAATAAAAATACAATAAAAAAGGAAAAAAATAACAAAAATATTTTAATAAATAATAGAAATAACAACAAAAAAAGTTAATAAATAATAGAAAAACAACAAAAATGGAAAAAAAACCAGTTAACAAATAATGGAAAAAGCTAATAAACAATCAAAGAACAACAAAAAGGGGAAAAATACCCAAAAAAAGTTTAATAAATAAAAAAACATTAAAAAAGTTATTTTAAGAAATTAACTTTTTTGTTGGTTTTTTTATTGCTTATTAAATTTTTTTTGTTATTTGTACCCTTTTTGTTGTTTTTTTATTATTTATTAATTTTTTCTATTATTTGTTAACTTTTTTTATTGTTTTTCTATTGTTTATTAACTTTTTTTGGTGTTTTTTCTATTATTTGTTAACTATTTTATTTATAAACTTTTTTTGTTGTTTTCTCTCCTATTTATTAACTTTTTTGTTAATTGTGTTTATTTAACAAATAATAGAAAAAAACAACCAAAAAGTTAATAAATAATAAAAAACAAAAAAGTTAATAAATAATAAAAAAAAACAACAAAAAGGGGAAAAATAAAAAAAGTTAATAAATAATAAAAAAAAAAACAAAAAGGGAAAAGATAACAAAAAAAATTTAATAAACAATAGAAAAAATAACAAAAAGGAAAAAATAACAAAAAAATTTAATAAACAATAAAAATAACAACAAAAAAGTAAGTTTAAGAAATTAACTTTTTTGTTGTTATTTCTATTATTTATTAAATTTTTGTTGTTGTTTTTTCTATTGTTTATTAAATTTTTTTTGTTATTTTTTCATTTTTTGTTATTTTTTTTATTATTTATTAACTTTTTTTATTTTTTTTCCTATTTTGTTGTTTTTCTACTATTTATTAATTTTTTCCATAATATTTATTAACATTTTCATTATTTGTTTTCCTCTTTCGTTCATCATTTTTTAATTTCTATTAAAAAAAAAAAAAAAAAATTTCTAATTTGCAGTGGAAATTATTTCTCGTTTCCTGACAATTTTTCCTTTTAGTTTTGCGTGTGAATTTTTTTTTCCTATTCTCAGGTAAATCGATGACTTTTGTGTTTTATCTTCCCCACTTCCGCATAGGGGTTTGAGAAATTTTTTTTTTTCTTTTTCTTTTATCTAAATTGTGTTTCTCTATATATACAATTGCAATATATTTTTATCAATTATTTTGAAAGAAAACAATTTCCTCAAAAAAAGAAACAAACAAAAATTCTTTAACATTATTTTTAAAAAATATTTCTTTATTATTAAAAAAAAAAAAAAAAAAAAAAAAATTAAAAAAAAATTATTTTTAAATTCAGGGAGAAAATGTTAAAAAATCGAAAAATTGTGAATTTCACAAAAATAAAAAAATCAAATTTTAAGGAAATAATTAAAAAAAATTACATGAATAAAAAATTTTAAATATTTATTAATTAATAATAATACCTAATGATAATAATTGTTTAATAATAATAATAATAATAATAATAATAATAATAATAATAATAATAATAATAATAATAATAATAATAATAATAACTGTAATAAATAATTAATAATTGTAATAATTTATTTATTTGTTAATTTATCAATATTTTAATAATAATAATAATAACTGTAGTAATAATAATCGTTAAAAACAATAATTATTATTAATGAATTTTAATAAATTAATAAATAATTATTATTACTTAATAATTTATTTATTTATTATTTTATTCATTTTGTTCACTTTATTTATTATATTTATTTACGTATTTTTAAAGTTTAATTTTCATTTTCATAATATTTTTTTTTTCTCTAAAAGAAATATTTTTTTCTTCTCTTCAAAAGCAACATTTCTTTGAAAAATAATGTTTGATGAGAAAAAAAAAAATTATTTTATTCTGAAAAAATTTTTTCTCTACAATAATTTTTTTTTCTCTTTACAAGAAAAAATTTCTTTTTCCTTTTCGCTCCATCTCTTTTGTAAATAAACGTTTTATGAGTTTGTTTAAAAATAACACTAAAAAAAAAGAGCGAAAGAAAAAATAAAAAAAAAAAAAAAAAAGATTAAAAAAAAAGTTGCTCTTGGCATTGAAGCAGGAAATGAGCTCGAAGGTAATGATTCGTCCAAGAAAGGCATTCATGAGATCTGAGGTATGCGAACACATTCAACGGTTTTTAAAGTAATCCGTAAAATTACAAAGCTCCAAACAGAGCCAAAGAGAGAAAGAGAGAGAAAAAATCTCGTTGGGTTTGCCTAAGAAAATTTCCATTCAAAAAATAAAATTTTCTGCGTTTCATTATATTCAAGGTCAAAATTTTCTTTATCTCCAAAATCACGAGATCATTAATTTTCTACAAAAAAAAAAGAAAAATAATAATTCCCCCCCCCCAAAAAAAAAGAAAAATAAAATAATTAAATTTCTTTCTCGGGACGAAGTAAAAAAAAAATATTTTAATTTTTCTGAATGCAAAGAAAGAAAATATTTTAATTTTTCTAAATTAAAAAAAAAGAAAATTTTTTAATAGTGACCAAATTGTACTTTGAACGTAACCAGAAATTGTACCAGAAACCGTACCAAAAATATAGTGAAAATAACAGAAATGTACTTTAAACGTACCAGAAATTAGTCTAGAATGTGAAACCAGAAATTCTGCCAGTAATTATAGCAGAAATTATACAAATAATTATACCAGAAATTGTACCAATTATTATACAAGAAATTGTACCAATTATTATATCAGAAACTGTACTAATTATTATATCAGTTACTCCACCAGAAACTGTACCAGTAATTATACCAGAAACTATATCAGTAATTGTACCAGAAAACTTGTACCAGTAATTAAAATCACAAATTGTACCAGAAAATGAAAAAGAAATTTTATCTTACACTTAAAAGAAGCTAAATCTCAAAAAATACCAGAAATTACGCCAGTAAATAGAACCAGAAATCGTACCAGAAACTATACCCACATAGCACAATAGTATGAGGTAAGGTTATGTTGAGTACTAATCGTAAGGCTCATAAGGTTACACGATATTGCTGTGGTAGACCTGAGGTGAACTAAAAACTTCCGCCATGGAGGTAAGGTTACATGTTAGGGTGTGGTGACTATATATGATAAGGCCATGGTAACCTTACACGTTAAGGTTGAGGTAACGTTACATGTTAAGGTTGATGTAAGGTTACATGTTAAGGTTGAGGTAACGTTACATGTTAAGGTTGAGGTAAGGTTACATGTCAAGGCTGAGGTAAGGTAATTATTAAGTTGTAAGGTTGAGGTAAGGTTGTGATAAGTTTACCAGTTATAGAAAATATTGAAAAAATAATTAATAAATAAATATTCAATTAAAATGTTAAGTGTGTTGCTCTTCTCTATTTTGGAAACCTGACATGAAGCAGAAAATTTTGAAAACAAATTTGGGGGGACTGGGATTCGAACCCGGGATCGGCGCGCATAAACCTATCATTCTAACTAACTGAGCTAAGTAGAGAACTGGCAGAAGGAAAATTAATGTTGCCTTTAAGGAGTTAATCATCTTCTTGGTTCACCTTAAAGGCAACATTAATTTTCCTTCTGCCAGTTCTCTACTTAGCTCAGTTAGTTAGAATGATAGGTTTATGCGCGCCGATCCCGGGTTCGAATCCCAGTCCCCCCAAATTTGTTTTCAAAATTTTCTGCTTCATGTCAGGTTTCCAAAATAGAGAAGAGCAACAAACTTAACATTTTAATTGAATATTTATTTATTAATTATTTTTTCAATATTTTCCATAACTGGTAAACTTATCACAACCTTACCTTAACCTTACCTCAACCTTACAACTTAATAATTACCTTACCTCAGCCTTGACATGTAACCTTACCTCAACCTTAACATGTAACGTTACCTCAACCTTAACATGTAACCTTACCTCAACCTTAACATGTAACGTTACCTCAACCTTAACGTGTAAGGTTACCATGGCCTTATCATATATAGTCACCACACCCTAACATGTAACCTCACCTCCATGGCGGAAGTTTTTAGTTCACCTTAGGTCTACCACAGCAATATCGTGTAACCTTATGTGCCTTACGATTAGTATTCAACATAACCTTACCTCATACTATTGTGCTATGTGGGTACCATAAATCAAGAAAAAAATTTTGCCTCAAACTTAAAAGAATTGTACCCTAAAAATACCAGGAATTCCGCTAGTAAATTGTACCAGAAAATTGTACCGGTAATTAGGATAAAAAATTGTGCCAAAAAACAAGAAAATTCTATTGCCTTAAAAATCAAAAAAAAATTGTACTCTAAAAATACCAGAAATTGTACCAGAAACTGTACCAAAAAACAAGAAAGAAATTTTGGCTAAATCTTTAAAAAAATTGTACTCTAAAAATACCTTAAATTGTACCA